TTTACGTATTTCTCTGTACGAATTCGTTATAGGCCAACGCTCCTCCGGGAATTTTAGTGCCGGCACCAAATCCACATCTAACTTAAACCCCTTAGATCTATTTTCAATAAACAAAGTCTTCGCCGGACCACTTTCAGACTGCCGTATAGTATACGGCACGCCGCCAGAATAAATTACCGGTGCGACGCCACAGTTAAATGAATTCAAAGCCTTGTCCACAACTCCTTTGAACCAGTCTGTAAAATTTGAGCGGAGCAAAAATTCTTGTCCATCGCTCCACTTATAGGCTGCTTTGTTAATTTCCCAGCCATCTCGCATCATAAATTGCTTGTATTGAGTTCCCATCCTAAGCTGCACAAATCCTGCCTCTTTTGGCTCCAGGATAATATCGCTATCTTTCGGGTTGTTCCGGTGCTCCTTCATGTTCAGAGGAAGTCCTATTACAATATCTACATCAAATTCGTCTGGTTTATTGATGCGAAGTCGATCGTAATGGCTTCCTGCCACTACTACCTAGAAAGTAATTAGAAAATTGGTGAGACTTAAGATTTTATTATAAGTATTTATTTTTTGTGTAAATATTACACAAAATCTGAATAAACATACAGAGTTAGTCAAATAGAAAAAGAATTTCTCAGTACCTTTCTGTCACTACAAAGTTAAATCAAAAAAGTATACATTAGCATAAATAACAGAAAACTTCGTTAGTTGATGTCACATCAAGCTGGCACTTTGGAGCATTCTTATCTTAAGCAACATAGAGTTTAATTTAAATTTTAAGTGTGAAACTTGACGAGTACAATAAGAAACTAGGTCACAGTCCAAATAGCGACAAAACAAATCCGCTATGACCTTTTAAGAATATAAATAAATAAAAATCATTTATTTCGGATGTCTATGATCCGTATTCTTAAATTATAAAATTAGTTAACGACTTTAGAAAATTCCTAATAAAAAATAAAATTAACATCAAAAAATTAAAAGTTAACATCTATATAACAATCAAAATTAAATATTAAAATCTAAATCACAAAATAAAAAGCATAAAATTAAAATAAGATCAAACAATAATTAAATTAAATAAAAATAATAGTGTCTTAAAACAACAACTTTTACTGTAGTATGTAAGACAAATATGGTAAGTCCACACAAACGTTGCAGTGTGGCTTGTATGTGTGCACGCCCGCTGCGCACAGTGTATGTACGCACACATTCGTATAATCTCGCGTGCATTCGTTTTGCACAGAACGGGTCATCACACGAATCATTAATTATTATTATAGAATTGATGCGGTCACTGCGGTCGCTCGGTATTTAAAAAATAGCATCAGTTTAGACGTGTTTATTGTTGTTTGTGGTAGTTTGAAGTTTAAATAAGAGTGACTCAAATTCAGAAATGTTCAGTATTTCATTAACTGTTTCCGTGGCCGAACGGTTACCATGCTGGTCTGCCATGCAGAGGTCCCGGGTTCGATTCTCGGGCCGGGAGAAATATTTGTATGGCCTACATTTATTTCTCTCGTGAGTTTGGGTGTAATTTGTGGTTGTCTATGTGTGTGACCACACGTGACCCGCGATACAGGGATTTCTTAATGCGAGGATATGAATGTGTGCGTTATTATTATTTCACAATCATACTTCATAATCAAGATACCAATCCGCGTCGTTGATATAAAAATATTCATGCGTAAGTACCTACTACTGTTAACAAAGGCTATTTCAATATAGCACGAGAATATTGTGATGAACATCTTAATTTTTTAACCGACTTCAGAAAAGGAGGAGGTAGTAGATTTTTTTCTATGTATGTTACGCGATAACTCGCGATAATTTGTGACCCGACTTTGATCATTCTTTTTTTGTTGGAAAGAGTACCTCAGAAGCTACCGCTTCTTTCCATTCCATTTATTTGGAAGAAAATGTCCCACCTGTAAGGGTGGCAAACTAGCGGATGAATCCGGTTTCGTTCATTTTCCGGTAACCGATTTCAATATAACTTGGCGAATAGATGTAATTCCACGAACTTTTGAGGTCGGTTTTTTAGTACTGTGTACTGAGATTTATGTTTAAAAGCTATAACAACCTTACCGAAGTGTAGGCATTTACGCACCGTACAAGCGGCCCTACTTTTTTTATGCTATTTAGTGACGAACAAGCTCTTATTATACCATGGCAGAATCGAAGAGTCTACCTAATATTAAAGCAGTGATAGCCTAGGGCGAAAAAGGTTGTCTTCGACAGAAGTCGAAAGTCCCGTCTGGTGACACGTGCCTGCGACTTCACACCAAGTCCTTTCGAATCACACAGAACACCATCGTGACAAAACCTGTCGAAAACTCTGTCAAGATTCCAGCCCGCATTGCGCGGCTTATGAGTACTCCTCCTCGTAAATAACCTCAGTACAGAGTACTAAAAAAACTAACCTCAAATGTCATTCGTCCCCTAGTTTACCACCCTTAGAGGTCGAATATTTTCTTCAAATTTCAATTGGACCATTTCTGAGGTACCCTCTTTCCAAAAAAAAAAGAATCATCAAAATCGGTTCACAAATGGCGGAGTTATCGCGTAACATATCTACGTACAAAAAAAACATACAGTCGAATTGAGAACCTCCTCCTTTTTTGAAGTCGGTTAAAAAGACCTGTGGCCAATAGCGGAATGGGAAAGTAATATTAATAATAAGGTATGTACGTTTACTTACGTTGCTGGAATATCTCGCAAAGTAAGGGTCCACCTTCTTCATCTTCTTGTGAATTTGGCCAAAGATATCGGTGAAGATATTGTAGTACATTTCGAAGTCATCATCTTTCAGGGCAATGTAACGCACGTAGATGTCATGCAGGAGCGCGTTTATATTGTTTATTTCTGGGCTATCGGGTATTTTGCCACGCGGAACTCCTCTGCCAAAATGACAAATCATTTGATTAAGTATTTTTGATCAGTTTGCATTTGATTTCATATAATTCTTACGTTTTAAAAATCAGTGATATGGAACAAGCACATAGAAAAAATTGTAACGTCTGCCGGTTCGCTCCGTAGCTCAGTTGGGTGGAAGAGAATCAGGCACGTGTATGTTGAAGGCGTTGGTTCGAATGCAGTCGGATCGATGGAACTTCTCTTTGTGTACGGTCTTTGCATTACAATTATAACAAATTAATGGTAATTTCCCAAAAAATTATTTAATATCATGGTAGTAAAACGTCGTGATGTTCAATAAACTTAATCTTATTTACAAAGCTTCTCAATTTCTCACAGATGATCTACATTAAGTACATTATTAATCCATATATAATAATAATATTATTATATAGTATAGTGTATATACACATACATACATTACATCCTATATAGTAGCGAAAACGAATGACTTATCTGAACTCTTGGGTTAAGAGTTTGATCGTTTTAACAAAAATTAAAAAAGACTATTTACCTTCTGCTTCTCTGAAATGTACTTGGAGTAACCTCCCTACCAACTGATGCATTGGAACCGTTTGACCTTGTATCACTCGGTGGTGTGCGGTTGCTTTGACTCGAGGCACCGCCACCAGAAGTACCTTCTGGGCTATTTTTACGGGAGGATAAATAAAGCCCTGCACCGGCGGCGATTAAGGCTGCCCCCGCTGCAATTGCTCCCCACCAACCTTGTCCCTCGTCCGGATTGTTACCGTTGTTATTTTCTCGATTATTCCTTCTGTTATCGGCCATTTTCAAACCTGAAGAAATATCAACATAATGATATGCCTACTTATGTATAATATTTTGTGCAATGTGATGCAAGCCGATTTGGACAAGCGCCCGGGTTTTTAAGGGCACCTTAACTGCGCTTTTTTTAACGCTGGATTTAAATCGGATTAAAACCCATTAATGCCGTAAGCAGAGGGCAAAAGCTATTTACAACTAAATATTTGTTGTAAATCGAGTTTTGTTCAAATTTAAAGGTATTATTACAAAATGTTTATTACTTTCTGATTTAAAAGGTTCGATTTGCCTTTCTATTGAATCGATTCGCTTGAAAATAGCATTAAAGTAAAAAAAAAATCGTTAAATCGAATGCACTTGAATCGATTTCATAAAAATCCCATCGTAAATGTGTGGTCCTTAATAGTGAGGATTGCAAAGTGGGTATTGTGTAGAGTTGCCTCGTTTTCGTCTAAAAAACAAATAAAACTGAAAAGCTGACATTTACGTTCAAATGTTGATTATTGCTGATGTTACACTTTTTAACTCTAGAACTGGGACCGTACCATGAACTCTTATTACTATTCAGTTGAGGACCTAAAATGAATCGTTGTGAGACAGCGCTACATGAAGTGTATATCACCATCCCGTTTCTTTGTCGTTACGAATCTATACTGAACTGTAATAAGAGAGTTCATGGTAAGATCCCTGGCAACATTATCTAGATAATACATTTTTTCTTTATATTTACGAAATTAATGACTAGTCATTTTTAAGCAATTTTATACAATGAAACAAAACATTGTTGTTTTGTTGGCCCTATCAAAAGATAATAAGCTGTTAATTTTTCTAAACCAAGTGATGTGATGACGTACGTAGTATCCATTTTATCACATTAAGGTCGCACAAGTTGTAGGAAATCACAGATAACTGGATCAATCAACTTTTTTACCGATACCGCTGTCGTGTTTCTAGATAATTCCAATCAAAATTGATATTACGATAATCGTCACATATCTTAAGAATTGAAACTATGTGTACGAAATATTTTTGACCGTATTCATGAAAAATTTAAAAACTGTTCGTCCCTGTGACAAATTGTGACTTACAAAATTTAAGAAAGAAAGTTTTGATATTTTTAACCGACCTCAAAAAAAGGAGGAGGTTCTCAATTCGACTGTATGTCTTTTTTTGTATGTATGTTACGCGATAACTTCGGTATTTGCGAACCAATTTTCATGATTCTTTTTTTGTTGGAAATAGGGTACCTCCATAGTGGTCCTATTTAATTTTAAAGAAAATCATCCACCTCTAAGGGTGGCTGTTCACGCATGAAGATTCATTTTTATAAATATCGCCTAAATTTTAGTATAATGAGCAATTATTTTAATGGTTGATTTTGCCATTCTTTAATCCAAGGCGTTTTTCTCTCAATATACTTTGAGTAGTGAGAACCGATTTTTATTATCTCCTGTGTCAAATCCCGTATAGTGGCGAACTAGGGGATGAATCCGGGTTTGCGCACTTTCCGGTAACCGATTTCAATAAAACTTGGTAATTATACCTATGTAATTCCACGTACTTTTGAGATCGGTTTTTTTAGTACTCTGTACTGAGATTATTATTATTATCAGCTCTGTCACAATATGCATGGCACAATAAAATGTTCCGAGGGAATTTCCGAGAATGCGCGACAATTCTCCGGAATATTTTTGGATCGTATCTGGTTTATACGTACGTTACACAATTCATATATAAAGTTCATTAACGCAACTAACTAACAGGACTGAACAAAATACGTGCCGTCTTAATTAAATTATAAATTCCGGAATACACACATCAAAAGTGTCTATTGACTGAACACGTATTTTTTTTCTAATTGCTGAAAATCAGGTCTTTTAACACCAATGGATTATTTTTTATCAATTATAAAAAGTGAACCAAAAAAGATCATCTTACTTGTTTGCATTTAAACAACAAAATAAATTAAAAGTACTTTATTTTTCAACAAATAAAACAATAGCATAAATCTATGTTGAAAAAAAATCTCAGCATTTTGCTGGTTGTCAGGCTTTACCTGGCAAGTACTCGCCGCTGGATATCTCCATATCGTAACTTGTGTAGACGGTTATCTTTTCGATTAAATATTAAAGAAATAACAATCATTTTATTTATTTATTTAAACTTAATTGCACACAAAACAGTACAAATGGCGGACTTAATGCCATTAGGCATTTTCTAACATCAACCGGAGAGCTGGGTTCAAAGTAATTAAACAGGGGTGCATAACATGACAATTAAAACAGATGGAAAGAAGTTTGTAAATAATTACGATATATAGTTTAAACACAATATAAATATAGCACATAATATTATATGACTAACTATACTTATATAAGCAACCTATATACACATAAATACATAATATATAATACATACACATATATATTAAATATACATATTTATATATAACAATGTCAGACTATTGGGATGTAGATTGAGACTCCAATATGAAATCGCGGACTAATTGCTTGAAAGCTAGTTTATTCGGTGCTTTTTGAATCTGGGGCGGTCGAGCGTTCCACAGGATAGGAAAAATAGTGGCCTGTACTAAGAGGATTTTTGTTGAGATCTGAAAAAAGTGTTTGAATTGGTAGAACGATCTTAAGGTACCAATGATCTTCTGACTAATGCATTCAATCAGTGGTTTCCAGCTTAAAATATTATCAACGTGTAGCTCCAGATTCACAACATGAGGTGCAAATTCAATAGGTGTATCATTATAAGAAAGAGGCGCGACAGAGCTCATGTCCAGTCCATAGTCAAAGCATGAGAACTACCCACGACAATACCTTGGCACTTATTTGGGTTGACACTGATGCCAAACTTACTCGACCAATCAGCGATGCGCCGCAGATCTTCATTAAGCGCTAGTATCGCATCATCCAGGCAGTTAATCTTGGCCTGCGCATATATTTGCAGATCATCTGTATGCAGATGATGAGAATTGTGGAGGATAGGAGAAATTAAATTGATGAAAACAGAGAACAATAGAGCGGAAAGAATTCCACCTTGGGGGACACCTGGCTCAAGGTCTGACCATTAGACAAGGAGTCTTTATCACGAACGGCTTGCTTGCGTCCTTGAAGATATGAAGAAAACCGGTCCAGTTCCGGAAGAGAGATTCGCAGATAAGCAAGGATAGCAAGAAGGATATCATGGTCAACAGCATTGAATACGTTAGGAAAATCAATGAGAACTAATATCGTTAACCGTGAATCCTCCATGCTCTTCCAAATGTCCTTTGTAACCTTCAGTAACGCTGTCGTGGTACTGTGGCCAGGCCGAAAACCAGACTGGTACTGGTCGGGGATATTATTTCTAAAAAAGAAAGATGATAGTTGGCGATGAACAATTACTTCAAGAATTTTTGAAAGGAAGGATACTATAGAAATTGGCCTAAAGTGTTTAAGGGTCGTGGGGTTATTAATCTTAGAAGAGGCAACACATGCGCCCTGCGCCAGTTGTTAGGGAACGTACCAGATGAGAGGGACGAGTTGATAATGTGAGTAATAATAGGCAGAGCACTATCTAAACAAAAGACTATCATTTGTCGACTAATGTCATCACATCCAACAGCTTTAGACTTCAAAGACATTATTGTTTTACGAATATCGGACTCTGACACCAAAGAAAAGATAAAACTTTCAGATGGTTAGCGGCACAAGGAAGAAACATCTTTGAGAGCACCCGCTTTGCCTGCCCATTGAATGCTTACACTAGCCGAGAAATGCCGATTGACATCGTCAAGAATGAAAGGATGAGGTAAAGCGTCATTCTGAGGCCTAACTAAGCCAAGACTTCAAAAATTTCCAAGTGTCAGCTGGAGAAGAGTGGAGAAGGTTGTCATGAAAATAGTGACGCTTTGCAGCTCTCACCATCTGGTTACAGCGATTTCTATGAGCCTTCAAAGTAGCCCAGTTTTCCTCAGACCTACAACGTTTAAATTTACGAAAAGCTCTGTCGCGCCTCCTCATTGCTATACGCACCAAAGGAGTGATCCAGGGCACAGGTGGTCTTTTCAGTTTCAATGAGCATAATGGTGCATGCTTATCGTAAAAACTTAATAAGGTGGCACTGAATGTTGTCAGTTTCATTTCATCAGTTTGTCATTTTATTATTATTATATATATACATATTCAGTACAAGACAATTCCATGATGTGTATTGAAATATAAAATGCAAAATTAACTACTGTCAAGTATTTGAAAGACCAATTACAAAATATCGATGGCTTCCTTGAATTCCATATCTCAAAAGCTAGATGTCTATATTATTTTCTTCAGGAATATGGTTTGACCATCCAAGCGTTGTTATGCGACTATTTAATAATAAAAGTTGCCTTGTTTGGTAAACATTGAATATTTCTCTGTACTATTAGGTAAGTTACATTTTTTACGAGCTCAAGTTATGGAGTGTTCTAAGCAAGTTCTAAAAGATGCACAAATTTTATTGTACCTTGATATGCTAAAAGTTAAGCAAAAAATGTTGCGTCATGTTAACTGCCTCTGTGGCCTAACGGTTACCATGCCGGACTGCCACGCAGAGGTCCCAGGTTCGATTCCCGGGCCGGGAGAAATATTTGTATGACCTACATTTGTTTCTCTCGTGAGTTTGGGTGTAATTCGTGGTTGTCTATATGTGTGTCCATGGCACCCGCGACACAGGGTTTCCCTAGTGCGGGGCTATGTTGAGTGTGTGTGTTACTATTAAAAAAAAAAAAAAAGAAAAAAAAACCAATGAAATAAGTTTGGTGTCCCATTCCAATAAAATTTAGCATTTTCTAAATAAATCTCAGTAATACGCCGAAAAAGTAACTGCTTTGGACTGGTCACTGTTCTGGAAAAGCAGCCATACATACGTATTTGTATTTTATTTAAATATGTATTTCATTTAAGAACAAGTAGCGCAAATACTGTCCAACTTTGCTAAATGAATACCAGAAAGTGCCAGTAAGTGCTCGTGTAATA